ATCTGAGTTCCTCTATACCTTTCTGCAGCTGTTTCTTTATTTCAGAAGCTGTTGATTCATTGCTTTCAGCTGTGTGATTCCCAATTTGTTCTGGGTTAGTTTCCTCTGCACTTATTACGGGTGGGCTTGGGTTCTGAGGTTGCATTTTGTTCTTTCTCATCATTTTGTGTAGCACTGTCTTCTGACCTTTGTTGTAGATCTTCATTATAGTTATAATCTTAGCATGTACTGAATTTCAGGTGCAGGTGTACAAAGTTTGGATTTATCTAACTGTGCCTGGCTTGGGTCTGGCTGCTGTTCTCAGCTCCTTCCTGCTGCTACCCTTGAGGGTGAACCTGTTGTGCCCCTCTGGCAAGATTTTCTTCTCCTGGACTCGCTGGGTGGTTCTATCCTTTACACTTTCTGCATGGATTGCAGCTGCAGGGTTACACCCCAGGCATGTATGCCAGTCCTTAGCAGATCGTGGAGGGGACTAGGTGGAGTAGGGGTTGAGGCAGCACTCCCACACATTCACTGGGTCTGGGCTATGACTGGGTCTGAGGATTACTGGAATGGGACAGAAATTCCTACTGGCAGGCGGGGTGGGGTAGGTGCTTCGGTGTGGTGGGGAGTGTCCCAAGGGGGTGGATGAGGGTCTCACCCACGCTGTGCCTGGACTGGGACCAGTAATATGCCCCGCCGGCACAGGGTAGCAGGAGGCTCTCCCACACACTCACCGGACCTGGGCTAGGACCGGGTCTGGTGTTCCCGGAACGTGGCAGAAATTCCTACTTGGCGGAGGTGTTGTGGAGTGGTTGGGGGCATCCCAAGGGGGTGGAAGATGGTCCCACCCACGCTGCATCTGGGCTTGGACCAGTAGTCGTTCTGCTGGTGCCTCAATCTTTCATTTTGTGCAGTTTCAATTTTTTGCAAACCATTTATGGCAGTTCGGTGACTACAATATAATAAGCTATATGAAAGAGATAATAAGTGAGAGAAAATACGTGTAACTTATTGTTTATTCTTAATTTTTTATTTTTTCATTTATTTTTATTTTTATTTTTTCGCTGAACTGGTGATTGAGCTCAGGTCCTTGTGCTTGCCAGGGAAGTGCTTATTCCATTCAGCCATCCCCATATCCCCAATTTTTTAATTTTTTAAAGAAAGTATAATAGTACTAAAAGAGAAAAATTACAAGTAATACATATTTTCGTTTAACAAAATAATATGTGTGGGTCCAGTGTGTATGTATCCACAGTATTTGTTGTCATGCATAGTGTTGTC